AAGGGTTACTCCAAACACCATGACCATTTCAGTGATTTGAAGTGGTCATGGTGGTAGGAGCCTGGATTGGAGTGTTAACTTGAAACACTCTCCATCCATAGATATTTTTAATTGTCTGCTGGTGGGTAGTTGCACCCCAGCACACGTGACTTAGTCAGCTGGGAACTATGGAATATAAAATGCTCAAATCTCACTTTAACAAATATATGTGTGTGATCTTTAAATATCACACCTGGATTCTGTACAGTTGCCAAGCGACAGGTTTTGTTTTTTTAGGAATAATCCCTAATTTTTGCTCCTTAGCATCCTGCTTTCCTTGTATATTATTATTATTAATATTATTTTATTATTTATATAGCTCCAGCAAATTCCGTAGCGCTGTACAATGGGTATATAAAAATACATCTTGCAAATGTACAGACCTGCTGTCTACAGCCTTTGCCTCTGCAGAGACTTTCAGTCTGTGCCAGGGAATACTTCAATCCAGAGGCTTTTTATTGACAGCCATGAGATTGAGCGATTGTGACTTACCTATGCTTCTTCTACTGAATTGTAGTAGAGCTTATTTAAAAGGGGGGGGGGGGCAGGTACACGCAGAGCTGACAAAAGGAGAAGAATCTTCTATGATTGACAACTCCTCAGTCGTTTCTTCTCCCACTTATTAAAGTGATAATTCCTTTTGAAATCTGCACTTTTATAAACTGTCACAAATATAACAGACTTCAGATACATAAAGCACTTCAGTGATTAAATGCTTTAAGCTGTTGGAGTGATCCTTTACTAAAAAAGACAAGACCCACAAGGTCAGAATTGGGAAGCCCCCTAATGAAATAATGTATATATAAAACGTAACTTTTAATAAAGATTTGTAAAAACGTCCATACAAATAATCAAAAGTAAAGATTAAAAAGGTTTGAGAAAATAGGGAGACCAGAAAGAAAATAAATGGAGAGTAATACAGGGGGCACAAAGGTGCCCTAGAAGCAAATGGCTTCTAATTCTAGGGTCATATAAGTGAGTATGTCTCTTGTGGACTAGAAAAGACCCCCCCCCCCCGTTGTATTCTTTCCTCATATCTCAGACTGGTAGTTCAGTCTATGGCTGATGCTGCTATTTGAGAGTCTCTGGGTAGGTGCACTGCTACATAGTATCAACAGACCGATACATATTATAGATGTATCTAAATATGGAGGGTGTCAATGCTCTTGGGAGAAAAAAGAGGTACAAAGTAACCTCTCCTATACACACTTCCAGTGAGAGACCCCCCACACAAAAAGTGCTGATGAAAAAGGCAGCCCCCCAATCCCTTGAAATGGCTAAAGAGTCGTTCCGATGGAAAAGCCCTAAACAAACAGCCAAACAACCAAAAGACTATCTCTAAATCTGCCAATGCCTAAGAGTATAGAGAAGCTAACTGGTCTCCCTGCCTTCTGCCTGCCTAACACGTGTTTCGGCGCTGTGAAACACGCCTTCTTCTGAGGCTTAATAATATAGGCCATAATAGAGGCGATAAGCAGGCAGAAGGCAGGGAGACCAGTTAGCTACAGGGGGTATTACTCTCCATTTATTTTCTTTCTGGTCTCCCTATTTTCTCAAACCTTTTTAATCTTTACTTTTGATTATTTGTATGGACGTTTTTACAAATCTTTATTAAAAGTTACGTTTTATATATACATTATTTCATTAGGGGGCTTCCCAATTCTGACCTTGTGGGTCTTGTCTTTTTTCTTTTTACACAAATATATGTGAGGGTTATCCCCTATTGTGGTCGCCCCAGACACACTTCCTCGCAGGTTCCCCTTTCTGGGGGTTCCTTGCTTTTCTTGTGATCCTTTACTAGATGACTTTTCTGTTTGAAATTGCTAATTCTAGTCATAGCCTTATATAATTACAAGGTGAAAAAATGTGTACTGTGATTCAGGTCTACAACTTCTCTTAAGATATTTAATGGTTTCACATTGCACCCATCCCCCCAATACTTCAAGTATTACAGTGCAGGTTACACTGATAGACCCTGTATACTAGGCATCTTAAACACAGTACAGTGCAGGTTACACTGATAGACCCTGTACAATAGGCATCTTAAACACAGTACAGTGCTGGTTATGCTGGTAGGCCCTGTACACTAGGCATCTTAAACACAGTACAGTGCAGGTTATGCTGGTATACCCTGTACACTAGGCATCTTAAATACAGTACAGTGCAGGTTACACTGACAGACCCTGTACACTAGGCATCTTAAACACAGTACAGTGCAGGTTACACTGACAGACCCTGTACACTAGGCATCTTAAACATTGTACAGTGCAGGTTACGCTGATAGACCCTGTACACTAGGCATCTTAAACACAGTACAGTGCAGGTTACACTGATAGACCCTTAGGAGCCAGAGTTTGAAATCTTGCATAGACCTAACAGTAGCCACTAGAGGGGAGGCAAAGCCATAATCTGAATAGTCACTGCCACTCTAATGAGCTTTTTAGATCAAATGTTTGCAGATGCACCTAACCTATAACTTAATCTGGATAATATTGATCCTGTGGACTTCAGCTCCCATAACACTAAACTATGTGTTTTCACAATATGTTGAAGGCAGGTAAACTATCTAACCCAATGGACAGCGGAGATGTAGTATGCTGTAATATCTAAGGATACCATGTTTAATATGTGGGTTAATAGCTTCTTGATCCAAGGAGAGATCTGACTGCCATTCTGATGTCAAGAATGAATTTTCCCTAGTTTGTTGAAAAGCTGGAATGAGTTTCAAATAGTTTTTTTGCCTTCATTTGGATTAACAGCGAAAACAGATATGAGAAGGGCTGAACTTAATAGTAACATATCAGCCAATATCAGCTTATATAATGATGTAACTCTTGTGATTTTATGCCCACAAAATGTAGCCAACAGTAACTGTCATTATGTAGTTCACAGGTAAATGCAGAAGTACTTCCTAACCATCTCTACGCCATGTCGACATTGACACTAAGATATATTAAAGCAAGGTTACCAATCTCTAAGTGTCCCTCCCGAGCTTTAGTTCTGGATCCGCCCCTGCGTAGGCAGAAATATGTTGGCATCAGAAGAGAGGCTTGGAACAAGAATATGTTGGCACCGGAAGCGAGGCCAGGTACATGGAATTGTTATGGACCGCACTGATTGGTTGATTATTGGCAATAAACACTTTATAAGGGTACGCGATTTATAGGCAGATATCCACCAACTTCCCTGAAGAAGTCAGCGCAAAGCATACGAAACGTGTGGGGATATTTATTTGTACTTATTTCTGATTTTATTTTATTTTTATTTTGTATTCCCTTTTTGGAAGTGAAGATTTTTGGAAGCTATTTTCTGTGTCCAGATTTACCATTTATTCATGGTGATAAGCCCCTGTGAATATATGTCTTTGTGAAATTTTAATTAAACAATTAAACAGAATCTATTTTATACAATACACACTAAGTTGTATTTGTTCTTTTTATATTTGAATCTATCTGTTAAGATTACAAAGATCGTATGTCAACTAAGCCAAGAGGGGAGACATGCCTGTTTACTTCTTAGATCCTGTGAGTGAAATCAAAGGCGAATCCACCCTCTCACATTTATGATATTACCCTATGTGTATACTTTCTGTTTTTTCTGTAGACTCCTTTTTTGTATTTATCCTTTCAGCCTATGTAACTATGTAACTTGTCTGCCCACAAAAACTAGCGAACAGTAACTGGCATTATACTTCACAGATAAACGCAAAGGCACTTCACAACCAACTCTACAGCATATATTAAACCAATGTACCCAGCTGGCCCTGATTATGAATTTGATAGCTAGACAGACTGATAGATATAAAAAGAGATAGACTGATAAACAGATAGATCAATGGATCGATAGATAGATAGATAGATAGATAGATCAATCGATTGATCGATAGATGATAGATAGATGATAGATAGATAGATCGATAGATGATAGATAGATAGACGATATATAGATAGATAGACAGATAGATAGACAGATAGATAGATCAATCGATAGATGATAGATAGATAGATAGATAGACAGACAGACAGATAGATCAATCGATAGATGATAGATAGATAGATAGACAGACAGATAGATCAATCGATAGATGATAGATAGATAGACAGACAGACAGATAGATAGATAGATAGACAGACAGACAGATAGATAGATAGATAGATAGATAGATAGATAGATAGATACCACTAGCAAGAACTGTAGAATTACGACCTGGAACCCTAATTGTGACTTTAAAGACAAACTTAGTGGCTCTGTCAGAATGATGAGGTCTTGTGATTGCAATGATGCTACAATGATGAAAATTCCAAAACATTCTTTGTTGTACATCATAAGAAGGAGAGGCTACAAAAAAACAAAAACAAATAATTCCCTAAATGCCCAGTTGTAACTAATGAGCAATTCGATATTTGTACAAACTACTTCTTCAAAGCCTGGAGGATGAGTTGGGCAATAAAAGACACAGCCCCTTTAAATAGAGAGCTCTGTTAGGAGGTGCTGTCTGCCAGTGAGCCATCCATTTTGCCAGCACTGTCAGCCCCAAGACCAGAGCTTCATTCTCAGACAGGATCACAGCAGGACCCAGGGATTTCTGATTATAGTGAAATTATAGTGTGGACACAAATAAATGCAGGAACAAGAAACTTGAACACATTTGTCACCAAATTTTCTAAAGCAACAAACCAATGTGTTGAGTCATCAGCAGGCATTCCTCGGAAGCTTTGTCCTAGACTTTCTTATCAACACCCATTGTTTTAAAGCCTGTTGCAGGTATAATACAGCATTGCCTTTTCGGTGTGTTTCTACAGTGACCCACCAGAGGGCGCTATAATCTGTCTGCAAGCAGGACTCTTACAGGTTATTAACACAATCTTAGACAAGCCACAGGAGGTGTGTGTGTAAAGGGGAGTTCCCAAATCATCAAACCCCCTCCAAATCTCTCATTCCCTAGCAGAGTGCACTGATAAAATGGATCTAAGGAAGGCTGCTGCTCTGTGTCTGGGGCTGTGGAGTGCCTGGCTCTGGGCTGGACAAAATTCTCAAGCTGCATCTGTGCTACCCCCTTCACACAAGCTGCCAGGGGCAACTAAGAGGGACCTGCTTTCTGGGCACACATTTGCCACTTTGCACAAGGACCCTAAGAACCACATACTCTCCAGGAAAGAGCCCGTAGGGAAGGGCACAGTGATACCCCACGACTACATGCTGTCTCTCTACAAAAGTCTGTCCAGGAGAGAGCCCAGAGGGCTAAAGTCTAATTTAACAAGAGACAAAGCAGTGGCCAACACTATAACCAGCTTTGTAGACCAAGGAGAAGATGGTGAGTCTCATCCTTACTATGACTAACTGGGCATGGGGCATGGCATCAGAAATACAACCCTTGAAATCCCACTCCCATTGTGCCTAGCTAACCTGGGGGGATTGGTGTTGTGTCCCCCCCTCCCCAGACTGGGTGATAAAAGCTGATAATATAATTTATGATCATAGCTACATTTTTCTAATCAGTAACTATAATCATAGTAGTGATATGTATTAGTTCAATTTAGCATGTGTTGTATTTACTCCAGATCTGTTATATTGTATCTCCTCCGAAAATTGCTAAATCTCTATTAATACTGGTACTCTGGTACCAATCAGGGTCATAGTATGTATTCTACTTGTGTGTGTTTGTGCATGTTAGCAAACTATTTTATTTAGGTAATCTCTAGGACATTAAAAGTTCCTTCCTTCTAAACTCATTAACATGTTTAGAGTTTACAAGGAACATCCCTTTCATCTGCAGGAAGTCTCTGGACCTTGTGTCAGCAGATAACATCACAAGAACTTGGCAGTAGATAATGTATTGTAGCAATTGCTCTCATTCCTAAAGGCATGGGTTCTAGACATTTATAGGAAATTTATATCTACCTGCTCAGCAACCAACTGCAAGGTATCTCAGCTCCAGACAAGGAGATCCTGCTGGGGAATTCTGTCTTAGATTTGATATTTAAGGGATAGTCTTCTTCAGCTCTTCGAGTTGGAATTGTCTGGACTGGATGGTTTTTCCAGGTCAGTTTATTACTAGTTTAATGTACTCTGTGAGAAATATAATTATATTCATTTTAGATTGATGGGTAGAAGGTATAGGAAGTAAGGATGGATGGATGGATGGTTGGTTGGTTGGTTGGTTGGTTGGGTGGATGCTGGGATAGCTGGATGGTTGGTTGGTTGGGTAGATGGTGGGATGGATGGATGGTTGGTTGGATGGTGGAATGGGTCTATTTCTTAAAGCTGAAGAAGGGCTTGGTACTGTGACTGCACTTGGACACAATGCATACTGAGCTTATAAAAGGGAGATATGTTATAGTGTTACGGTTGACTATACAGTGACAATGTATCAATGAAATGTGATTGTGTGAATGGCAGGGGTTTAAGTGTAGTTGTTAGTCTAGAACAGCATGTTGTGCAGTGGACTTAATGAAAAAGATACATTTCCAGTGGAAGCCTTTGTGATGGTGGGAACATTCTCTGGGTAATCACCTTGAAGAAAAGAAGAAAGCTTTGGACAAGTGCATGGACAGAGCCAGACAGTCATCGTTCATTCTCCTAACTTGAGACTTGCTTGACCTGATGCGCCTCCTGTTGGCTTTATATTGCAATAATTGAGTTTTTTGGTAAGATGCCTGCTAAGCCTCACTTTGTAGCCATGGAGAGTATGGGAACTTACAGAATTCCCACCAGCATGCTTCCCCACCCCAGCAGACCCCTATATCCACCAGTCTGAAAACCTTCCGCATTATGACCTCCCTCTTCCTAAAGGCATGCAGGGTCAATGGCTCCCTCTGTCCATGGGCATGCAGGGTCAATGCCTTCCTTTGTCCATAGGCATGCAGGGTCAATGGCTTCCCCTATCCATAGGCATTCAGGGTCAATGACTCCCTCTGTCCATAGGCATGCAGTGTCAATGCCTTCCTTTGTCCATAGGCATTCAGGGTCAATAGCTCCCTCTGCCCATAGACATCCAGGACCAATGGCTCCCTCTGTCCATAGGCATGCAGGGTCAATGGCTCCATCTGTCCATAGGCATGTAGGGTCAATGGCTCCCTCTGTCCATAGGCATGCAGTGTCAATGGCTCCATCTGTCCATAGGCATGCAGGGTCAATGGCTTCCTCTACCCATAGGCATGCAGGGCCAATGCCTTCCTCTGCCCATAGGCATTCAGGGTCAATGGCTCCCTCTGTTCATATGCATTCAGGGTCAATGGGTCCCTCTGTCCATAGGCATGCAGGGTCAATGCCTTCCTCTGCCCCTAGGCATTCAGGGTCAATTACTCCTTCTGTCCATAGGCTTGCAGGGTCAATGACTCTCTCTATACATAGGCATGCAGGGTAAATGCCTTTCTTTGTCCATAGGCATGCAGGGTCAATGACTCTCTCTTCCTAAAAGGCATGCAGGGTTAATGGGTTCTTCTGTCCATAGACATTCAGTGTTAGGACTTATCACTGTCCATAGGTATCCAGTTCCATGATAAGCAGGATCCATAGGCACAGTCTCAGAACATCAATATGTCCATAGGTAGGTAGAGTCAGGACCTAGCTCTGCTCGCAAGCATGCAGTGTCAAAACCTATATTTGCCCATAGGCATGCCATTTCAATACCTTATTACACATATAACGTCAAAAGCCCTCTCTGCCCATAAACATGTGTCAAAACGTAATTGTCCCCATAGGCATGTCTTCTCAAAACCTCTCACTGCCCATAGACATGTAGTGCAGGAGCCAGGACCCTTCTGACACATAGAAGCAGGAATAGACATTTAGCTCAGCGTGATGGGAGCTGCACTTCTTGAAATGTTTATCTTGGGTGTATGCTAAGAGACCAGTTACGTTTCACAGATCCCTGGCTAAGACTTCTGCTCGATTTTATGTCCCCTCCAGATATATAATGACAAACTGGCTTTGGGATTCCCAATAATTAGACCCAGACAGACTGTGTGTTGCATTGTGCTGTATACCTTGGCAAATAGACTTCATTAACACCTTGCAGACTGCATATCTAGACATAACATTTCAATATTCTAATTTTACCTCTGTGTCTCCCTGCACTCTAATACACTTAAATTCTATCGAGAAGTAGTCTTAATTCAATTGCTTTTCTTTTTATCCACTTTTTGCCATATGTATTGTTTTTGAACACTTTGTTAATTTTACTGGAGTGAATGAATGGTTCAATAACCTTTAAAAATAAAAACTCCTGTAACAGAAACAAGGATATATAGAATTTAAAATATATTAAAACACAGACCATTGTAGCAATAAAAACTATTCGGTGGCCCGTGTGGGTTAGAATTATAGATGATATATTTTAAGGCATTCAATTGGCGTTTACTCTGCACAAAATGAATCAACTTAATTTAATTCGTGCAATAATCCAATTAAAGGAATCGCATTTTGGAAACCAGAAGAAATGGAGTTTGATGCTTTATTTAATGAATTTAATAATAAAATTAAAGAACAATAAACAGTTATCTTTATTAATTATATCTTTATTAAACATAGTTATATCTAAGAAATATAAATATCCAACAATGTTAATGTAGCCATTATTGTACTGCACTCATAATATTTTTTAATTCAGAATAAGGCTCCCCTAATAGACTTGTGTAGATTTATTGTGTGCAGTCAATAAGAGCAATATTGACCTCCAAGGGCCAATAAGTGGGGAATAAACATCAGTTTATTAAACCAACCTCCATCAATTCTAGGATTTAGGAAGTTAAGTGACATTTTAGTAAATACATTTCCCTGTCTGTTAGAAGTTATAAACAAGTTTATTTCTTTAACAATGTTACTTTGTATCAAGGGAAAATGATGCCAAAAAAATTAAAATATAAATAAGTCCAATGCAATGATGGGAAAATGAATAATAATAATAAATATTACAAACAAATAAATAGTTAACATTTTATCCATCAAAATATTTACATGCAACATAATGCTTTGAAATGTAGAATGCTAAAAATGAAGCAAGTGATTAAGGTTTATTTATATACTTTATTTAGAGGAAGATAATATTTTGCACAATATTTGAGACAAAGAGATAATGGGGAAGGTAGTGATATGATATAATGTTTGAGATATTTTCAGATCGTTTTAACCCCTCATTTTGGGAGCGATGGGGTTAAGAGGTGAAATATTCCCCCTATCCCTTTCAGTTTAAAATGAAACCAGATGACCTCTTCAAAGAGTTCTCTTATCTCGGCAATGGAGGAATTTTTATTTCTCTTCAAACCCAGAGATGAGTGAAGAATATATATCAGTTCTGGAGGGACTGTTACAGAGTGAAGTGGATTACCGCACACTTCAGAACAAGTCTGCTGCAGTTTTTCTCCCCCATAATTTAATGCATCGCCCATGCCTATTATAATATGGGCAATGTTACAGGAAGGTGTCATATCCCTATAGTGTTAATAGAAATTTATCTGCCAGGGTTTCAAATAGAAATTCATGGGAGCTTTTTACTGCACTCTGATTATGCCCACCTCCAGGTGTTATCGACCAAGGGAGTGCTTTTACTTAAAAAATACAATAATATTTTTTTTTTTTTTTTAGTTTTTTTCAGTAGAATATGGTAGTTGCACTTACACACACCCGATGGTTGTATAATAAATTTTGCAGTAATAAATATACATTTTATGTGAACTATTTATGTCACACATTAATCTTTATGCCATAGGATTTCTGTCGAAATATCTTATTTTATAATATCGATTTAATTTACATAACTCACTACTATGGTTAATTACTAAAAATGAGAATTCAAAGTTAAATTTAAGGACACAATAGTTAAACTGGGAAAATTCACTAAGCTTGCTATACTCTAGGTTTGGCTACTTTGGCCTTACATTTGAATTCTCCATTTAGTAGCCCGTTGTACATATTAATAGATAACGTGCTATTCATTAACTGTAAATCTTAATAATGTTGTCTAACATAATGGGAAATGTAATGGACAAGTTTTGCAATAACCAGGTTTGATAACATTGTCCTGGGTAAATGTGCCTTCGTGTCCTTCTTGGGGTGTCTTACCCAGCGAAGCAGCTAGTTTTTTTTTTTTTTTTATCAATTTCCATTATACACTAACTGTTGACAGCTGAACTGTTACATATTATATGTAGATCTTAGTATAGTTATTGCAGAATGGTGAAGGATTGTGACAACATTAAGACTGTTTGGTTCATGTCTTCCAGATGATACTGTGTTGCCTTCTCCAGAACAGATGTACCTGTTTGACACCAGCAGTTTACCAGAGATGGATGACATTGTAAATGCTGAACTTCGGGTTCTGCGAAGGTTTCCAACCAACACAAGTTCAGTGATCTCTGAGACAGGGAACCTGGTCCATTTCCATGTATACACCTGTCCTACCACCTGGGAGGAACCCAAGGTTCTAGATTCTAGATCATCAGATCTTCTGGACTCCACACGTTCTAAGTGGGAAGTATTTCAAGTCTTGAAGGCCATGGACAACAGGAAACATCCTCTGTGCTTGATGCTGAAGATGACTTCTGACCTCACTGAGAAATCTCTGCCACCTTTGCAACTGGGATTTAACCGACATGGAGAAGAGGCTAATGAAAAGCCTTTGCTGGTGGTCTACTCCCACTCAAAGAGGAAGGAAAATCTATTTAAGGAGATCAGGGACAAAATTAAATCAATGGGAAACCCAAAAGTGCTGGAGCCACCAGATTCTGGCCAGAGATCCATTACCAGAAGAAGAAGTAAAAGGTCAACCCTGCCCACAAGGACACATAACGGTAAGGGTAATGGGAAAAGGTCCAAAACTAGGTGCAGCAAGAAGCCACTCCATGTAAATTTTAAGGAGCTGGGTTGGGATGACTGGATCATAGCACCGTTGGACTATGAAGCTTATCACTGCGAAGGTGTTTGTGATTTCCCCCTCAGATCCCACCTAGAGCCCACCAATCACGCCATCATACAGACATTAATGAACTCCATGGACCCTGAGTCCACACCACCAAGCTGCTGTGTACCCTCCAAACTCAGTCCAATCAGTATTTTATACATAGACTCTGGCAACAATGTAGTCTACAAACAATATGAAGACATGGTGGTTGAGAGCTGTGGGTGTAGGTAGCAGATATTCTAATTAAATCCCAGACCAGCAATGTTGCATATGGATTTTTTTTTTAAATCTCTTTTTAGTGCTGGTTCGTTATGACCATCTTTAACACCCTTCTTGCTGCTTATAGGAAAAAAAAAAAAAGATAAAGAGAATTAATCAGTAAATCGTGATAAGATAAATACCAGGGTCAGTGACTGATGTTTTCCACACATGAAAAGCACTTTCTGTGACAGGTTTTGCATAAATGGACCTTTACAATAGCCACAATCTCCAAGATATTCTATAAGTGTTGCAAGGTGTAATTGCTATAAACATGTATTTGGGTAAATGTTTCAGCTCTGGACAATTCTCACAAAAATCTGAAATATCCCTTGCAAGTGCAAATTTATAATAAATATAAACTCCTAGCGTCAATATATATATATATATATATATATATATATATATATATATATGAGTGTGTGTGTGTGTGTGTGTGTGTGACCCCAGCCCTGGGGTCATACAATTGGAAAATATGGAATAGAAGTCAGATAGTCCTAATACATAATAGTTTACACTGGAGACAGAAAATAACAAAAAGGTCGATTATCCATTATGTGTGATTTCATTTAAACTTTTTAGTTTTAAACCAGGTTTCATTTTATTCTGACTGGCTTATTCAATAAAGTAAATTAAAGGTGAATTTCACATTTAAGGTTAAACTAGCCGATCTGGAAAAATTCTCTAAGTTAGTTATCCTTTAAATTCCACTAGTCTGGTCTTTAATTTGAGATTCTCATGGAATTCCCTTTGAATTCTTACTTTATTGAATAACCCTGTTAGAGTGCTGATGGGTAGATTTAACATCCAGCAATGGTCGGGTTAAAATCCAGTCCTGCGAGTAAGTCAACTCAAAGTTAACGATGTCAGTGAAAATATCTAAATATTCTCACTTTATTCTCCTGAGTGTCATAATAAGTTTCTATCTACATTTCTATAGTTAGGATATAGACGTGTTTACAGTATTGTGAAACACATATCGTCTTTCAAACTTGGCTTTGGAAAATCTCAAAACAAAAATCAATTAATAATTCACTAAACAGCGTACGGTGGTGAATTCTCCATAGACTTCCTAAATAAATAAATAAATAAAATTATATATATATATATAGCCAACTGTCTGCTCAGCACAGCTCACAATGAGCTAATAGACCCTTTATGACATTGTAGTCTATTTGTCAAACTGTAAATCGGTTGAGAAGAAAATTGCACATTTTAGGCCATTTTAATTAAATTGTAAAAACAAATCTCAATGCATCTACTTGACTGTTTTGGTCGGACTTCTGAAATGAACCTTAACAATTCACTATATTTACCAGATTAGTGAAGCGGGGGAAAATAAACATTATCTTAGGTCTTTTATTGACTGAAAGACTGAAAATGCATCTATACAGTTCTACATCGGTTTTTGTTTATAATTTTAAACTAATAATGCATTTTTATACTGGACTCACCCATCAGAAAATAACAGTGAATTTAATATAATTCCAATGAATTTATCACATACCTAAAAATATTACATATATTTAACCCCCCTCTCCCGGTTAATGCTCTGGGGCATACATGTCATTTAATTCCACTTTTGAATGGTAGATGTTCTTTCACACTGGCAAGGAAATCAGTCTTGAAGGAAAAAAATTTAAAAAATGCCATGTCTGTTAGCAGAGTAATACGTTTTAATTTTTTTGGAGACTGGGACTACAAATAAATCAACAAAGGAAGGGAATGTATAATGCTTTTTCCCAATGTTGCACTTTTTCCTTCTTTTACAATTTGTTCAGAATCTCAACCCAGTGACCTGGAGCCAGCAGACTGTGCCAGCAGGCAGGTGACATCATGTATTCAGGGATAACCTGGAGCTAGGATTCAATGGAGGTCAGATCCAGGGGCAGTGCCTTCTGTCATACAGCTGTTACATGAGGGAGATGTTCCTGCTTATTACACAGGGCGGTTTGAGGAGTAGTCAGGCCCCATGCTATAGCTTGTATTCTTGTAGAGGCTGATCAGCATTAAGAACTGAGAAACGTGCAGTCAGATACATAAGGCATGTCTGGGGCAACGTTCGAAACTTGGAGTAATCTACACGAACGTTCCATTGTTTCCATGGTGACTGCCCCACGTTTAGAATGTTACAGAGCTGGTATTTATAAACAGTATTTATAAACAAGCCCTAATATTTATCACCTCCCTGCCTTCTATAAGTGGACAGCAATTTACAAAAATGTACTTAAATTAGCTTTATGTAGGAGAAAAGCCTTAAAACTGACTATAGTCCACATGATTTTCAGAATACTATAGCTTGCTTTTTAGTAACAAACCCTTCATATTCAGAACCAGTTGCACACTAATTATTAAATACAATGGGGAAAAAAACCCAACTTTACCTTATTTGCACCAATCCTTTGAGTCTGTGTATAAGAGTGATGCTTGGCTAGTTAACTTGTGAAATGCCAGCGGGTCCTATAATGTTCTTAGTACTAGTAGTTGCAAATTACCAGATGCTAAGCCCGTTTATTAGATCAGTCACACAAAGAAACCAAAAATGAAGGGTTATTAGCAGGCTGGGTTGTTTACCTCCCTCGACGTTTCTATTTTTTCTGCAATTTCAGAAACGTGCATTTCTGAAGCCTATAGAAGCCAGTGACCCCAGCCCTGGGTGTTGTGCCAAATATGTGTCTTTTTCTCAGTGAAAGGGTGGGGGGCCTTACCCAGCAGCTAAATGTGAAATCAAAGATCTGTGAGAGGTAGAGGAGAATGGCCAGCAATAACCCAAACTGCGATCTGTAATTGTCCCTTGGGGGGAGGGGGGTTTCTTAATTATTTTATTTTATTATAGTGTATATACGTGGCTTATCTTATTGCTGTAAAAATATGTTTGTATTTTATAATGAACACATAAATATTTCAGCTAATTATTGACCTAAAAGTGGTCTACTGATTTTTGTTTATTAATCCTTTTGAGTTCTTTAACCCATTGTACATTCCATTAGACCTGAGAGAGTGAATCGCAGAGGGGAATATCGCCTAAACCATGAATAGTGGGCATTTACTATGTGAGGCCAAAATAGCTAAGATGGAAAAAATATCCAAAAATTTCAGATTCCCTAATTATTAATAATAATCGCCACCATTTCTAATTTAGGGAGGGGGGGTAGGTATAAAAGTACCGAATTCTGAAAAGTGGTCTAAGGTATTGAAAGTGGGTCAATCACTTGGAAACCAGTGGAACCAGTAGGGAAATTCAGTGACTACACCTGTTCTACATCTTTAGAACACTCCCCAGAACAGAACACGTTTATACAGAACCTCCACTGACCCCTCCAAAGAATTTAACTCTGATTGCTAGTATTGTAGAACCATCAAAACTTCAAATTTCCTATCTCCCCCTCAAATGATCATTTATGCAATGAGAACAAAATACAAGATAGGGTAGAGTATGAGATTGACATAAAACAAAAAAAATCCAATAAATGAGTTAAGATGCACAAAATCACTGATTATTATTTCACAACAATAATTAATGCTACGTTTGCCTAACTTTCATATAATTATTCAATCCCATCCAGGTAACTGTATTCCTTAATAAATAATATAACGAGCGATGTTCATTGGCATTAACCCTTAAAGGCAAGAACTAAGCATGGTATTTCCTTGGCTTTTACTAGGTTAAATTAATGGTCTACTAATTTTATAAACGCAAGGCAGAAAGAAAGGCAGTTTGTTATTTCTTTATATCAAAACTCAAAAAATACATGTAAGAAATATATATATATAATTTTTACCATTTCAGTGCCAGAAAGGCAATCAGTGCATGTCGTAGAAGCTACAGCATCTATTCCCCAATTTTAAATGATATATATATTGCTTTAAAAATCAAGAATGTTTAAGAAAGTCAATTACAAATCCAAGCTCTAAACTAAACGCTTGTTTTCTTGCATACTCGGTCACAGACTCTAAAAATAAATGGATCATTAAAAAAAGCCATAGAAAGTAAAATTAAATTTAAAAGTATCCTACGCAGTGCAAAAATATCATACAGAGTAGACTCACTTAATAAAAAACACGGTTATTTTTTTTAACTCTTCAGTGCCAGAGATATATCTCATATCTAACTCCAACTAGTACACAGTGGCTTTGAATACGTGTAATCCTTGCATGTGAGTCACAGGAAGAATATTATAAACTTTCTATCAAACCTATTTTTCTGACATGTTTATTTATTTATATATTAAAAAAAATACAAAAAGAGAAAAAAAACGTTGAAAGCAGCCTTTTGATATAATTTTGGAATGTTATGATACAACCGCAGTAAAAGCCTTGGGGAATAATATCTATTTTGTAAACAGATCTCTCTTCATGATTCGAATTTGCCCTGTTTGGTGTTTACCAGCTTCTAGGTGGATACAATGTTTCAATAGAACAATACTTTGTTAGCAGCCCTGGAACGTGTACACAATTAATAAGACTTGAGGGTGTGAATGCATTGTATGTAATTCGATGTTTAAACAGATTGTACATATTAAAATGTAAATTAAAATGTAAACTTCATATTTTCTCCGTATTCTACATAGTGGTATATATATTTGTCAATTAAACTTTTCCTTTACATGCTATTAATCCATTTTTTTAAATATTTTGTACAGATAATGTTTATTAAATATTTTCTGGTTACCCCTTGTTGTCCATGTTGTTATTCCATGACAGAGTTTACACAGATTATTCTGGCATTTTAAGGCAATTTACATGTGAACTAATAATTCATAAGATGGGCTATGTGCCCCTCCACATCCCATTATCCTAAGCCAACCTCTGCCTTGATTGTTTTCCATTTTAAAGCTTTTTAAGAACCAGAGACTGACAGGCTAAGCATACTGGGATTGTAAATCTAAAACCAAGCACAACTCGCTGTCTTCTACCAGCCTAAGGCCCTTTGGCATTCAAAGGGTCAATACTTCATTGAACTTTATATCCAGATAAATACACTTACAAACGATGAAACCATGGACCTCACCCCATCCCAGTAACACTATTTATTTATTCATTTTTAACTCTTTTCTTACCAGCTGCAGGGGTGAGAGACCAGATAAACATTGTGGTTGTCATAGTTGCTGCCCAGACAGATTAAATTCAGATGCTAAAGCGTTACATGCCATGTCTCCCAGGAGAACTCCTTGGGGAAGAGATTAGAGCAAATCTATAGTTATGGTGTATGTTCCAATATGTCATTGGTTCTGAAGGGGTTAAAACAGTATCCAATTTCTACTAAAATCATGGGAGTTGTCCTATCAGGATTGATTAGTGAATAGCCTGTCTGATCAATGGCAGAACAGGATGTAACCTTAGTTCTCTTAGTGTCTACAGTCAGTGTGTAGGATTAACAAAACAAACAAAAACAATTATTTAATGCAGGTCACAGAGCAATGGTCATTACATTAGAATAATGCAGGTGGAATGCACTCACAATATGAGTGGACAGGTGTGACCCAGTCACCCCAAATGCTGTGTCTGTTCACCACTGTAACTGTGAGATTATCGGTCGTGATACAATCCATCCATCCTAAATCACACTGCAGCCCTGCACACTGGATTCTACCACTGCAGGTAGCACTGCTGTCCATCAGCTTGTACAAGGGATGTGTCTTCAGACCAAAGGATACACAGCAGGGGTGCCATTAGTTTCCTCAGAGATAAAAACACATATTAAAAGTATGTAGTTTGAATGGCATGAGATGGTATTCTGATATTATCTTTCACAAACAATAAGGGTCAAGTTACACTTATACAGGACAAGGGTCAGCCTAGACACCATAATCACTACAGTTTATTATAGTGGTTATGGTATAATGAATCTTGGGGTGCAGTGTTTCTGGCAAAAATGGGTTTCTCTATGCACCAAAGCCAGGCCTTTCTTCTGCCTCTGAAATTATGTCTTAGTTATTTGGACACACTCATCCAAAACCCACTGCCAGTCCTGGGCTGAGAAACTCCAAACCAGTAAAACAAAACCAAAGCAGCCACTAAAGGAACGCTAACCACAAAATAAGTGGTACTTATAAGTACACTAAGCACCATAACCACTGCTGTAGCTTAGCGTTATTCACTAACTTTAAACTGATGGGAATTCAATGTAAGTTTCAAATTTTGGCAGAAAATAATTAAACTGAATATATTACTGATTTTTTTCCCCAATTTTGCTGTTCTGGTATTAAGTTTAAAATTCACTTTGAATTCCTATCGGTTTAAATGTTACTGTCAGTTTAAATACCCCCTGAACCTGTAGTATTGGTTATGGCGCCTAGAGTGTCCCCTTAAGTGCCACTTTTTTTGTGGTTCGCATTCCTTTTCACCAGTACAGAAAGAATAAATTTGACATTAAACTTGAATTCTCACTTTAGTTTGTAATAGCAATTACAGACATAGAATTCTATAAAAATTACAAACATGGAAATTTCAAAAACGAAGAATTGTGCTCATCAAGTTCAGCCTTTGTTGCTGCTCTTGATTATTCAAAATTAAAGAAATATTTTTCGTGTGTGTTTTTGTGCTTCGTTAAATATTTTTATTGGGGACAAAGAGAGTTGAACATAGAAGACAATTAGCAGAGTTTGTGAGCCATTAACCAGCAATAAAGTATTCACAGACATTTAGAAATAACTTAGTATTAGGTTATTATAACATTATTAATCGGCAGTAATACCAGAGATCATTTACTCAGATTCTGCTCTCTTCTTTAATTTCATTTTGTTTTTTTCCCCCCACATATTGAATACATCTATGATCTGCATTATCTCAAAAATGAGGCCTAATAAAAAATAAAAATATATCATGAAAAGAAGGTCATTTGTCAGATCATCTCAGTTAAATAGAAAGGTAGACATGATATAAAAAAGTCGAACTGGAAGATAATTAATAACAAAAATAGTAAAGGGGTAAGAGATAAAAGTGTGAAAAAAAATAGAAATAAGATTAGGTAACAATGCATCGTGTTTGGGAAAGGGTATTATGGAATCTTTTGGAGTACAAGATAGCACAGCGGAGTCAGTGTGGACAGGCAGTAAGGTTATTAGATATCTAATAAACCTTGGTACATGTTTCGTGGCAACCAGTTCTTAGTATGTGCATTGAAGGGACTCTTCACACACCTAATGCGGTTCCGCTTCTTGAAGTGGTTTTTGTGTGTAGTGTGTCCTTTTTTCAATATACAAAAAGTGTAGATTTCAATAGACTTGTTACACCCCCAGCTGTTAATTAGACAACAGGTTTTGTCAGTGGTGGAACTGATTTAGAGAGGGCTCAAGTGCAGGAAGGTTTTTTGGGCCTCCCTCTAGTGCAAGGGTGGCCAAAAAAGTAGATCCCCATCTGTGGTAACTCCAACGATGCTATGCCAGCTGGTAATTTACCATTCGCCCATTATTGCAGGGTTTGTATTTGTGAGCATTGTTTGTGCGTTCAAATGTAAGCATGTTTTGTATAGAGTATATGTGTGCATGTATTTGTATGTACTATTCATTAGAATGCAGTATTGTATTTGTATTTAATGTTGGATTTCAAATGGAGGTGTGCTTTTGTGTGTCATTTAGTGTTTGATTGAGGGGGTGATTGGTATATTAATAAAGGGGTGTGTTTGTAATGCTTGCATTTGTTTTATTGTTTCATCTTGCAAAGTTTAGGAAAGGCACATTACGTTACAACTTATTAAAGTTTTCCTGGCACTGTAGAATGCTGGAGTGCCCCTCTCCCTTTTCCCCCCATCCCAGGTTTCTGAAGGGGTTAAAACCGCTGGCGGGGAAGACCTAATGCGCATGCGCAGCAATAACCGGGTGCGCGTTAGACCTCCCCATAGGAAACCAAAGGTCGGTTTGGATTCCGGAACCCCTCTAGTGGCTGTCTGGCAGACAGCCACAGAGGGCAGACTGAGAGCTGTTTTACATTGCAGCACTAAGTGCAAAAGGGTCACAGCACCCAGACCACTTCAATTAGCTGAAGTGGTCTGGGTGTCTGGAGTGTCCCTTTAAGCCTATGTAGGCAAGAGCTAAAACTTACATCAAAATTAAACATATGTGTAAATAATAAACATAGCACATTACAACATGGTAAAATAGTACAGTTCACAAAGGAGACAGCAAGTTACCGCAATGTAAAAAATAGCCCCTGGAGGCGGTACAGCAAGTCAAACAATAGCAATAAACCAATGTGATTAATGCTTGCATTTGATTACAGGGGGGTGTTTGGATTTAATGTCAGTTTTTCAATATGGATGTACATTTGAGTGTAGTTTTGGTGTTTGAGTGAAGAGATGTGTTTGTATATAATTTTGGAGTTTGAATACAGGGATGTGTTTGTACTTAATATTTGTGTTAGATTGCAGAAGTGTGTTTGAATGTTGTGTTGGTTTTTGATTGCTTGGATGTATACACTAAAACACATACACTGCCACAAACATACTTACACAGATATACATACACATAAACACACTGATACACATATAAATAACACTGAGACATACACACCAAATTTATATACATACATATACATACTGACACACACACGTATATACACACACCAACACATACACACACTGACTTGACACACATAAATACATAGATGCACATCATGACACCCAGATATACACACACTTACACAGACACACACTGACAAATGCACATACCCTGACACAAACACTGACATTCAAACACAGATGCACACACTGACACACAAACTGACATACATATAAGTTTTAGATTTGCAACCACATTCCTGTTAGCATACCTTTTGTGTCCAGGAGGGTGGCATGCTTTGAGCCCTGCTGCTGACTGGGGTTGATGGGATGGGGTCTGGAGCAGCTCTCTTGCTGCTCCTCTACCCACTGCTGCCTGTGCTGTCGTGGCCTTCTTCCCCCTGCACAACTCCCTCTGAAGCTAGTAGAAAGTGATCAGCTATCCCAGCTGGCAGATACAATAAAGAAATAATACCCATTAAGTGGCCCTAGGTGCATAGGCTACACTAGCGGTAGATTTCCGCTCCTGTTACTTCCTGGTTTGGTAAGCTCAGTGAAGAGAAAACTCAAGAGGCAGCAATTGCCCAAAGCACCTGCATTGCAAAGACTTCTCATTGACCTGAATCGGGAAGTCTGTGATTGGACAGTCACATAAAGTGCAGTCTGTTTTCTAAATTACCTATTTTTTGAGCAGGACAGACACTTACAGGCACCATGTGTGTCAATCTCTTGTCAACCTCTCATCCCAGTGTATATATTCTCATCTTAAAAGTGCCACAGCTCTCAACTCCTCACTAATAGCACCAGGCCCGGACTGACGATCGGGCAAAACAGGCAAATTCCCGGTGGGCCACGATAGCCATGGGCCGAGGCCGGTAGGAAAGATCAAGAGATCTGCCCTGCCAGCTCATGCAGGGCAGCTCCGGCCCCAAGATGGAGTTCTGTCCCATCATAGGGCAGAGGGTAGATTGGGCAGTCGGTGTATACCGGACACCCTACATGCGTGCCGAGCAGCTTCTTTCTCTATCTCTCCGAGCTCCATGAGTAACCCACGGCAACGCTCTGAAAAAACAGTGCTTGTGAGAGGGAGAGAGACATGGTTTGTA